CACATTAGAAAGTCTCAGATAGAGTGGGAGAAAGTGTGGAACAAAACTCAAAATTATTTTACAAAAGAATGCTGGAGAAAGACTGGAGGAACCTAAGACTAAGGCCCTCGACCACCCTCAGATCTGGAAAGGAACTCACCCTTATAGTCCAATTGTCAGCAAAGCAGTAGGCAGGTATGCAGGGAGAAACAACAACACTAGGAAGGTATGCTCACCATGGAATGGTCAATTATTCAAAATCAAAAGTGCAGCATTTACCTAATGACAAAGTTGAGGAGGGATGGGAAGGCGGGTAGAATGGAAATAGGAACCACAGGGAGGAAGTGGGATAGCATGGAGGAGATTGTAATCATTAAGATGAAACAAAATATATGATTTGTTCAATGTAAAACTGTAAACCTACACTCAATTCACAATAAAAAGTTAAAAAAAAAAGTTTAAAAAAAAAAAAGAAAGAAAAATATTATAAACTTTTCTGAATGGAAAACTGACTTGCTCTGTAAACCCAATTTATAATAAAAAGTTAAAAATTAAAACTATACAACTATGAAAAATAAAGCTTATCCATATTCACTTGAACTCAGATATAAGAATAAAAAGATACATCTTAATCTTGAGTAGAATCACTGTAGACTTATGTTTTAAATAAAAAGCTTTAGCTAGACTTTCAATGCTAAAGCTAAATTCTGAAAATAAACCTAATGTGAATTCTTGGTATTGCTGTTACCAGGTGCCACTGACTCAGTTCTAAGTCACAGTGACCGTATGTGACATATGAGTACTGCCCAATAGGATTTTCTAGGCTGTAATACTCACCAGTGGAGTCCTGGCACTACAGAATAAGCACTGGACTGCTCACCCACAAGCTGCTCTTTGGAAACCCTACATAGGATCGCTATGAGTAGAACCGACTCAAGGGCACTAACAACAACATTCAGCAAGGGGAACACAGTGACTCTATGATAAGTACTGGACTGTGAATCGCAAGGTTGATGGTTCGAGCCCAGCATCCACTCTGTGGGAGAAAGTTGACGCTTTCTGCTCCTGTAAAGATTTACAAGTCTTGGAAACCCAATACAGAGCCACTATGAGTTGGAACCAACTCAACGTAATTAACAGGCACAATATTCACTAGGTCTGTCTCCCAAGAAGAATATAGATATTTCTATCTTACTTTTTTCTACCAAGAATATGTTCTTAAATATCCTATAAATTCAGATATTTAAGAACATATTCTTCCATTCTTTCTATACCATATTCCAAATAGTCAATATTAGCTAAAATACAAACTTTAAAAATAAAAGAGTGTAACAATTTCAGAAAGGCATCTGCAAGGACTCTTTTAAGTGGTCATCAGTGCTAACGTCTCAGAAGAATCTGAGTAGAGTCACTTCTTTACTGAGTGGGTGGGGGTGAGAGGAGGTGGATAGACCCGGTCAGATAGTTCATAAAGGAAGTGTTAGAACAAAACAAATCAAAATGCTATCAAACATATATATTATAGCGTGGTGCTGAAGAATAAGCACGGAACTGCTAACCACAAGGTCGCAGATCAAAGCAAGCAGCCTCTTCCTGGAAACGTTATACAGGGCTGCTATGAGTCAGAATCAACTCGGTGGCGTTTAACAACAACAACTAAAATAAAAACCAGTTCTTTTGTAAACACAAACACTTCTACAACTACATTCAAAATCCTAAAAATAACACAAGTATAATAGTTTAAGACCATACAAGCATTAAATTCACTTGCCAAAAAAGGCAAAAGGTTACTGTCAAAATACGCTTATTGTATCCTTTTTGAGAATATTAGAGAACGCTGGGTACAGACACAGACACCACCAGCTCTGTGGTCCTTCGCCCACTACAAAACTGTGCTCCTGAATCCACCGCTACAGGCACAGACAGGGGCTCTGGCTCCCACTGTCCTAGCTAGGTGGCTCTCCTCACTGAGGATCTCCATGGTAGAAAAAAGAGAAAGAGACAGGAATTTCCTATAATAAAGGCCTTCATATGTAATCTAGGTAATTCCAAAACAAAGCTTCTACAAACCCCATGTTTTTGCTATAATTAAAACTTTCACAAATTATAATATGCATATTTTGCCGTATTTAACTGGCAACCTGAGCTCATGGTATGAGGCTGTAGGATCAGCAATGGACTGCAAAGTCACAAAGTCAGCAGTTCAAACCCATCAGCTGCTCCTGGGAAATCCTATATACGGTCACTAGTAGCGTAGTGGTTACGAGTCGGGCTGCGAACTGCAAGGTCAACAGTTCGAAACTACCAGCTGTTCCACGGGAGATTTATAGCCTCGGAAATCCTGTACAGGGTTGCTATGAGTCGGAACCGACTCCATGGCACATAACCATCATGAGTTGGAACTGCCTCAATGGCACTAGTAACAGCAACCTATAAACCAGTTAATCACACCTAAATAATCAAGGGTAGATTGCTGTTGTTAAGTACCACTGAGTCTTTTCTGACTCATAACCCCCCTGTATAGGGTTTCTGAGGAGTGGCTGGTGGGTTTGAACCTCCCACCTTGGAATTAGCAATACAGTGATTATCCTATAGCACCACATCAAAACACCAAAGGTAATTAATGTCTGGCACGCAGTTAAATGTAATGAATGAATAAACTGCTGTTGTTGTTGTTAAAAAAAAAAAAAAAAAGACAACAAAGGCAGATAATATGAACTATTTTAATGAACTCATACCTTGCAGAGAACGTTTACGTAATTCCTATTTGATTCTTACAATCCTAGGATGTAAGACAAAGCAGGTATTAATTTTACGAATCGGGCTGCGAACCTTAAGGTCAGTGGTTCGAAACTACCAGCCGCTCCGCGGGAGAAAGATGAGGCTTTCTACTGCCGTAAGGATTTACACCCTCGGAAACCCTGTACAGGGTCGCTATGGGTCGGAACCGACTCAACGGCATTCAACAACAACAACAACAAATGAAGAAACTCAAGCTTGGAGTGACAGAACGAGGACTGCATTATAGGTCTTCTGTCTGTTTGATTGTTTGCTACAGTGCCACAGAAAAGAAATGATACAAATCCTCATCATCTGATCTCTCAAATGGAACTTTCAGAACTTGAATAGTAAAACTTTCCCAGACCACGCTTCCAAAATTTAAACTGCATATCTATCTGTAGTAACTGCAAAGTGTGCTCTCAGTAAATTTTACTTAGTATCTTCAATTAGTTCTCATTTTACAGATCAAAAGATTTTACTTCTAAGGAAATTATACTATTTTTAAGTGCTTTCATAGTAAGCATTAACTTTCTGACCACTGTTCCTCCTGTCTGTCTTGTTAACACCAGGGTACATCTACTAAAGTAAATTTGTATGGATAAGAAAAAGGGGAGACAGAGTTAATAATATGGGGAAAAAAAGAAGCAATGAGTTACTATTCATTTGCAATTTTCCGAAGAGGTTTCTAAAGACTCAAACTTTATGGGCAGAGCCTTGTATGGCCTTAACCTTTATTTTCCTTGGTTACAATTATAAAATGGAGAGGGAAAACTTTATCTTTTGTTAGGCTTCTTTGCTTAAAAACTCAGCAGCAAAAATCCAAGTTTTTAGTTTTCAACTGGAAGTCTGTTTTACATCTCCAAAATTTCTACTTTCAACACCAAACTGTAATGAATTATGAAAAATTATAAAACTTACCTCACAATCAGGGCAAGTAATTGTGTTGTTTTCTTCAGTTATTAACAAGCACAATTCACAAAAGGTATGTCCACACTGAAGTTCCTGGTGGTGACCTATAGATGAGATTCTACTGTGAATCACACTTTTCAGAGTTTGGTTACACTGAATGGGCAGTAGGGATCTTGGGGGAAATTCCTGCTGTATAGGAAGAAATATCTAGTTAGAAATGGATGAGTTACTAAAAAAATTCAGGAGAAACTACACAGGAAAGAAAAAAAAAATCAGTAAGAAAAACCATGTAAAACTTGCATTTACATTAATTCACATCTACTATATTTTGAACTAACCATCTATTATAAGCACTGGACTGTGAACCACAAAGGTCAAGAGTTTGAGCCTACCAGTCGCCCCACGAGAGAAATATGAGGCTTTCTACTACCCAAAACATTGAAAGCAGGAGTTGTTGTATGCTGTGGAGTTGGTTCCGACTCATAATGACCTTGTTGTATAGGATTCCCGAGGCTGTAAATCTTTACAGAAGCAGAAAGCCTCAGCTTTCTCCAGCAGAGCAAGTGGTAGTTTCGAACTGTTGACCTTGAGGTTAGCAGCCCAACTCGTAACCACTACGCTACCAGATGCAGGGGTGGAGAACTTTTTTCTGTCAAAATTTATAACATCAATCACAGGCCATACAAAATTATCAACTTAAAAATTAGCCTACTATATTTGGTCAAATAATTAATTCACCCCTAAGGTGATGTCACTGCGGGTTAAAGCCATGGCAACGTCGGTTTGAACACAAGGTTGCCAGTTCAAGCTCACCAGCCGCTCCTTGGAAACCCTATAAAGAGTTGCAGAATCGACTCAATAGCATTTAACAACACTGACAATGTGAAGGCTGGTGTGGTGCTTCAGGATAATGCACTGGACTGCAAGGTCGATTTGAACTGCAAGGGCAGAGGTCCAGAGCAACCAGCTGCTCTTCAGAAACAGGGTTACTAGGAGTTGAACCAACGCCATGGCACTTTACAATAACAACAAATATGATGACTGGAACTGTAGGTGCCTCGGCAAGGCCAGACCAAATAATTGAGTGCCTTACACAGCCGTGGGATGGATTTAAAGCCTCAGAAACCCTATACGGGCAGAGCCGCCAAGAGTCAGAACCATTCCACAGCACACAACCATCACCACCACCATTAATGGAAGTTTAGCATGATAAATGTATTTGCCTTAGCTACATTAACTTCAAAATGTTGCCTTTTTAAAAGATTTTTTTCCATGAGAAAACAAGTGAAAAGTAAACAGAACTAGAAAAAAATTAATCTATTACAAAAAAAAAAAAAAAGAGTTCTTGCTGATTTGTATTATAAAATTAACATTTTTAATTCGCTTTACAATTTTTTTTTCAGCCAACCGAAATATCTGAAACTTGCTTACCACCAAGCTAGCTAAAGAAGCCCTTATCTGAGGGCTTCTACTGGTGTGCTGCAAGGAGCTCTGGTAGGGTAGTGGTTAAGAGTCGGGCTGCTAACCTCAAGGTTAGCAATTCGAAACTACCAGCCGCCTTTCCATGGGAGAAAAATGAGGCTTTCTGCTCCCGTAAACTTGTGCAGGGTCACTATGAGTCGAATCCGCGACTCCAAGGTACTTAACAACAACTGGTGTGGCGCAAGGAGCTCTGGTAGCATACTGTTATGTATGCGAACCTTAAGGTCGACAGTTCGAAACTACCAGCGGTTCCATGGGAGCATGATGAGGCTTTCTGCTCCCGTTAAGACTCGGAAACCCTGTACAGGGTCACTATGAGTCGATTCCGACTCAACGGCACATCACCACCACAACCACTGGTGTGGCGCAGTAGATTAAGCACTGGATGGGTAACTGCAAGGTCAGCAGTTCAAACTCAGCAGCTACTCTTGGAAACTACACAGGGTTGCTAGGCTTAGCAACCGACGTGAAGGCACACAATAACGTATCTTATTCAGTCATCTGTTACTAGCAAAAGAAAAAAATAAAGTTTTTGCTAAATTATATTATAGTGGTGGTGGTTATGTGCCGTCGAGGCGGTTCCGACTCATAGCGACACCGTACAGGGTTTCCGAGGCTGTAAATCTTTACGGGAGCAGAAAGCCTCCTCTTTCTCCCGCGGAACAGCTGGTAGTTTCGAACTGCTGACCTTGCAGCTCACAGCCCGATTTGTAACCACTACGATACCAGAGCTCCTTAAATTGTATTATAGTAATTACATTAATTAGGAGTCCTGGTGTGGCGCTGTGAGTTAATGCGCCAGACTGCAAAGCCGTTTGAACTGCAAGGTCGGCGGTTCAAGCTCACCAGCTGCTCCTCGGAAACCCTGTACAGGCTCGCTATAGGTCGGAACCGACTCGCCGGCACTTCACAACAACAATTACATTAATTTAAAAAGAAAAAAAAAGCTTTACAATTGATCTGACACTTGCCTACAGGAGTCCTGCTTCTGTGGATGAACTCGGGTACATTTCACAGCGGTCTACACGCTCCCAGCAGCAGGAACTATGCAGGAAGATCGGTTTCTAGGGAACTGACTAAGTTTCTGCACTTTCATGAACCCCGGCCGCGCTGGCAAGCCGAGAGGCCCAGAGCCCGGCAGGCTTCCGTTCTAACGGCTGGGCCAGGCGCTGAGAGCCGGTGGGAGGCGGCAGGAGCGGCGGAAACTACCCTCTCTCGGCTATGGGTGCCGCCGTCAACACAGTTCACCCTACACTGTCCTGTCAAAGGCCCATCGGCTCCAGGAAGATCAGCACTGGACTGCTAACCACAGGTTGGCTGTTCAATCCACCAAGCCACTCCTCAGAAACCCTACACAGGGTAGCTAGGACTCGAGTCGGAAGCGACCTCATGGCACTTAACAATAACAACATACACGCCCTCCACACCTCACAGGTCCACTCGCAAAGGGCTCGTTTTCCTTAACTGCTTCAGGGTTCCCGGAGCAGCAGGAGGCTACGGCCTAACACACTAGCCAGGGGTTCATCTTTGGGGCTGCTCACCTGACGCTCTGGACACACTTTTCCCACACTGGGTGCACCGTACTGCCGCAGCACCGCAGAGACGATTCTTCTGTTCAAACCGAGGATAAAAGGAAGGAGCCAAACGAGCCGTCGAAGCCTCCGCCTCCTCCATCGTGGACTGCCTGCGGGTCTGAAGACCGGAACCACATGCTAGTCCTCGTGGCGCTCCATGGTGACCAATCACGGAGGCCAGAGGTTCCGTTTAGCCAATCATTGGGCAAAGACGTTAAAGCCCGCCTCCTTTACGTTTCTTTTTCCTGGCGTGATCTTCGTGCACCTGGTTGGCAGTTACTGGGGTTTGTCCTGGAAGTCGTTCTAAGAAAAAGGTGATGTGATAGTGAAAAGCCACCTACTTTTCTACTCTTAGCGAAAGCATTAACACTTTAGGCACACTTAATCAGTTTAAATTTTCGTATTTTTACATTGTTAGTGACATCACAGGTAGCTAGCTAATGATCCTTTATTAAAGCAATTCTCCTTCCTTCTGTATCAAAGGAGCTGTGTTGAAGCACAATGGTTAAGCACTTAGCTGGTGATGGAAAGATTGGAGGTTCCAACCCACCAGCTGCTCTGCAGGAAAAAAGACCTGGTGATCTGCTCCCAATAAAGATTCCACTCTCGAAAACCCTGTGGAGCAGTTCTACCCTGCCCCAGAGGGTAGCTGTGACTACCCGGCACACAACAACAAGGACTGATCAAGGCCTGCATTCCTACAGCAGTGTGCACGGTATTTTGAGAACTTGACTGATAGTTATAGTGGAGAAACCAATCAGTACCGACATTTGGGGAAATGCAATGAACAATTTCAAACTAGGGGGTGGTGATTATTATGAACAGCTGTTGAGTCTGCTGATCCCTTACTGGGAGCTGTTAGAGACACTAAGAGTCGATAGATTAACAGGTTTATCCCTTGAGAAGTATGTAACCAGCTACATAAGGTGGTAACTTCTGCGAAAATAGCTAATACTGAGTGCTAGGGGAGTGGTAGAGATAATTCTAGAGTCTCGATTGTGGGGATAAAGAGCTTGCATTTGGCACTTGAAGCAGCGGAGTATCCGTCTAGTGAGCTAGGGATGAATGTGGTAGCAAATATATGTCAGAGGAAGCACCCTAGAGGTGCCAAATAATAAAAACCTTGCATGCTGCTAATAATAAAAGCCTTGCATGCTGCTAATAATAAAAGCCTTGCATGTTTTCCTCATGTTCTTCTTTTCTTTCTACATATTATTTTGGAAATAGAAATAAAAGTATTCTGTTTATGTGTACACATTCTCCATTTTCCTTAACTTTAATGAAGGAGTCCTATGGTGCTATAGGATAAGCACTGGATTGCTGACCACAAGGTTGGCAGTGCATACTCACCCATTGTTTGAGCTTTCTGGAGAAAGATGAGGCTTTCTGCTCCAGTAAAGATTTATAGCCTCAGCAACCCTATCCCAGGTTGCTACGGGTCAGAATTCACTTGATGGCAACAGCTTGGATGTCCTTCATGAGTCAGCTTTAGAACCACCTTGAAACCTTCACATTTCTCCTTGCACATATATTCCACTAGTTTGTTGTTCTTTTTAGGTGCCTTTGAGTTAGTTCTGGTTAACAGCAAACTATGCACAACAGAGTCCTGGTGTGGTGTTGCAGGATAATGCACTGGACCACCAGGTCCAGTTTGAGCCACAGATTGGTAGTTCAAACCCACTAGCTGCTCCTTGGAAACCCTATACAGGGTCATTATGAGTTGAAACCGACTCGACGGCACTTAACAACAACAATGTACAACAGAGAATTAAAGTGAGCCTGACCCAAGCCATGATATTTTCAATAGCCTGTTATGCATGTGAAAATTGGACAGTGAATAAGGAAGACTGTAGAAAAACTGATGCATTTGAGTTATGGAGTTGGATTAGAATATTAAAAGTACCATGGACTGCTAGGAGAACAAACACATCTATGTTGGAAGAAGTACAACCAGAATGCTCCTTAGAAATCATGTTAGTTAGACTCCGTCTCTCATACTTTGGACGTGTTGTCAGGAGGGACCAGTCCTTGGAGAAGGACATCATGCTTGGTAAAGTGGAGGGACAGTGAAAAAGACAGAGACCCCCAATGAGATGGATTGTCACAGTGGCAGCAACAATAGGGTCAAGCGTAGCAGCAATTGTGACCGTTCTGTTATCCAAAGGTTCACTATGGGTCGGAACAGATTCAACAGCACCTCACAACAAAAAATATACAACAGAACGAAACACCGCCCACAATTATTGTTGTTTGAACCCATGGTTACAGCTACTGTGTTAATCCATTTCATTGAGGGTCTTCCTCTATTACCAAAAAGGATGGCCTTCTCTGATAACATGACTAAAGTACATGAGATGAAGTCTCACATGACATTCTTGCTCCTAAGGAGCATTCTGGCTGTACTTCTTCCAGCACAGATTTGTTCCTTGGAAACCCTATACAGGGTCATTATGAGTTCTGGCCGTCCATGGTACGTTCAATATTCTTTGCAAACACCACAATCCAAAGTCATCAATTCTTCTTAGGTCTTTCTTTTAAATTACTCAGCTTTTGCTGAAAAGACCATGGCTTGCATCATCAAGCACGTGTTTATCCTCAAAGTGACATCTTTCTTTCTGAATACTTTAAAGAGGTCCTGTGCAGATGATTTGACATTTAATAACAACAATGGCTATTAATTACAAGCATATCTTCATGTATACTCTTCATGTATTTGTATGTCTTTGGTGAAGTATCTGTCCTGTACCCATTTTAAATAGTTTGTCATTTTGTGGTTGAGGAGTTGAAATTTTTGATACAGTTTTTAGATTACTTTCTTGTCAGATATATCATTGCCAAATATTTTCTTGAATCTGTAAGTTATCTTTTAACTCTTTTGAAGAATGTCCTGATACACATAAGTATTTCATTTTTATAAGGTCCCAATCATCTAGTTTATCTTCTGTGATTTGTTCATTTTTGGTTATGTTTGATAGTATATTTATGCCACAAATTAGGGCTCCTAAGTTTGTTTTTTCCATTGATGATTTTAATAGTTTCATATTTTACATTTAGTTCTTGGATTCATCTTGAGTTAGTATATGTATATAGTGTGAAGTATTGCTCTTGTTTCATTTCTCTGCAAACAGATATCCACTTTTGCCAGCACCATTTGTTAAAGAGAGAATATTTTTCCCATATAAAAGATTTTGCCGCTTTGTTGAAGATCAGCTGTCCATAGGCATATAGATTTGTTTCTGGGTTCTCAGTTCCATTCCATTGGACTAGGTGTCTATCTCTGTACAAGTACCATGTTATTTTGACTCCTGAAGCTGTGTAGTTGTTAGGTGCCATGTAGTTGATTCTGACTCATAGTGACCAGAATGAAACAATGCCTGATCTTGAACTATCCTCAGAATTGTTGTTAATGTTTGAGCCCATTGCTGCTGCCCCTGTGTCAATCAATGCACTTGGGGGTCTTCCTCTTTTTTGCTGGCCCTCCACTTTACCAAGCATGATGCCCTTCTCCAGGGACTGTTGTTGTTAGGTGCCATCAAGTCAGTACTGACTCATAGCAACCTTATGTACAGCAGAATGAAACACTGCCTGATCCTGGGCCAACCTCACGACTGTTGCCACGCTTGAGTTCATCAATGCTGCCACTTGGCCAATCCATCTTGCTGGGGGTCTTCCTCTTTTTCTCTGATCCTCCACCTTACCAAACATGATATCCTTCTCCAAAGACTGGTCCCTCCTGACAATAGGTCCGAAATATGAGAGACAAAGTTTGGCCATCCTGGCCTCCAAGGAGCACTCTGGCTACACTTCTTCCAACACAGATCTGTTTGTTCTTTTGGCAGCCCAATATTCTCCTCCAACACTATAACTCAAAAGCATCAATTCTTCTGTGGTCTTCCTTATCCACTGTCCAGCTTTTGCATGCATACGAGGTTATTGAAAATACTATGGCTTGGATCAGGCACACCTTAGTCCTCAAGCTGCCATCTTTGCTCTTCAACACTTTAAAAAGTTCTTGTGCAGCAGATTTGCCTAATGCAATATGTCGTTTGATTTCTTGACTGCTACTTCCTTGAGTGTTGATAGTTGATCCAAGAAGAATGAAGTCCTTGACAATTTCAATCTTTTCTCCATTGATAAGAATGTTGTCTATTGGTCCAGTGATGAGGTTTTATGTTTTCTTTACAATGAAGTGAAATCCATTCTGTATTCTTTGACATTCATCAGTAAATATTTTAAGTCCTCTTTGCTTGCAGCAAGCAAGGTTGTTAATGAGTCTTCTTCCAATACTGATGTCACGTTCTACTGTTCTTTATATAATCCAGGTTCTCAGTATACTTGCTCAGAATAAGATTAGATTGAATAAGTATGGTGAAAAGGCACATACCTTTCCTGATTTTAAACCATTTAGTATCCCCTTGCTCTGTTCAAACAAATGCCTATTGATCTATGTACAGGTTCCTCATGAGCACAATTAAGAGTTAAGGAATAGCCATTCTTCACAATGTTATCTATAGTTTGTTATGATCCACACAATCAAAAGTCTTCCATAACCAATAAAGTATAAGTAAATATCTTTCTGGTATTCTCTGCTTTCAGCCAACATTGATCGGACATCAGCAATGATATACCTAATTCCACATCCTCTTCTGAATTTGGCTTGAATTTCTGGCAGTTCCCTGTCTATGTACTGTTGCAACCATTTTTTAATTACTTAAACAAAATTTTATTTGCATGTGATATTCATGACATTGTTCAATGATTTCCACATTCCATTGGGTCACCTCTCTTTGGAATGGGCACAACTATGAATCTCTTCCAATTGGTTGGCCAGGTTCTTGTTTCCAAATTTCCTTACATACATGAATGAGCACCTCCAGTGCTGCACCAGTTTATTTAAAGCTTCCAGTTTGTAATCCATCAAATCCTGGAGGCTTGTTTTTTTGTCAATGCCTTCAATATAGCTTGGACTTCTTCCTTCAGTACTATTGGTTCTCAAACATATGCTATCTTTTGAAATGATAAGCATAATCCATTTCTTTTTTGGTATAGTGACTATGTATTCCTTCCATCTGATTTTTTCTGCATCATTCAGCAGTTTAC